CTGGAGTACAGCCCACCTCCGCCGCGCGCCGATGCAGTCCTGCTGGGCCCCAGGAATATAACTCAGACCCCTCCCCTCCCCACCGATGCAGTGCCACTGGGCCCCTGGAATACAGTCCAGCTCAGCCCCTCGCCGATGCAGTGCTGCTGGGCCCCAGGAATATAATGCAGACCCCTCCCCTCCCCACCGATGCAGTGCCACTGGTCCCCTGGAATACAGTCCAGCTCAGCCTCTCCCTGATGCAGTGCCGTTAGGTTCCTGGAATATAGTGCAGCTCAACCCCCCCCCCGATGCAGTGCCGCTGGGCCCCTGGAATGCAGTGCAGCTCCCCCACCACCACCACCTCAATGGAGTTCTGTTGGGTCCCAGGAGTACAACACAGTTCAACATCCGGGGTACCGTGCTGCTAGGCCCCAGGAGTACAGCACAATTCACTCCTTCGATGCAGTGCTGTGGGCCCCTGGAATACAGTGCAGTTCAGCCCCTGCATGCAGTTCTGTGGGCTCCTGGAATACAGTGCAGCTCAGCCCCTGCATGCAGTGCTGTGGGCCCCTGGAATACAGTGCAGTTCAGCCCCTGCATGCAGTTCTGTGGGCTCCTGGAATACAGTGCAGCTCAGCCCCTGCATGCAGTGCTGTGGGCCCCTGGAATACAGTGCAGTTCAGCCCCTGCATGCAGTTCTGTGGGCTCCTGGAATACAGTGCAGCTCAGCCCCTGCATGCAGTGCTGTGGGCCCCTGGAATACAGTGCAGTTCAGCCCCTGCATGCAGTTCTGTGGGCTCCTGGAATACAGTGCAGCTCAGCCCCTGCATGCAGTGCTGTGGGCCCCTGGAATACAGTGCAGTTCAGCCCCTGCATGCAGTTCTGTGGGCTCCTGGAATACAGTGCAGCTCAGCCCCTGCATGCAGTGCTGTGGGCCCCTGGAATACAGTGCAGTTCAGCCCCTGCATGCAGTTCTGTGGGCTCCTGGAATACAGTGCAGCTCAGCCCCTGCAATGCAGTAGTGGGCCCCCAGAATACAGTGCAGCTCAGCCCCTGCATGCAGTGCTGTGGGCCCCTGGAATACAGTGCAGCTCAGCCCCTGCATGCAGTGCTGCTGGCCCCAGTCTCAGGTTCACTGTCCAGTTCACCCTGATCTATGTAAGGTGTTGAGGCTTCAGCCACCAGCATGTAATGGCACCTTCCCCACGTGTGCCCGACCCCCGAACATGCAGAAATGTCTCCCCCTGGCTCTGCTCAGCTGGCAAGCCACCCCCACTCCTCAGAAGTGCAGCAGATGCCTTGGGCCGCCGTGAGCAGCTGGCCGGCTTGTGACCCAGGTGGACCCCCAGCGTACAGCGGCCCGGAGCAGGGGCGTCTCCGCTCGCTCTGCCCACCGCGAGTCCCTGGCAAGGGGCAGGCTGTAACGTGGGGCTAGCTCAGGTGCCTTGCAGCACTCCTACCTCTCCCCCCCGGCCTGCAGGCCCGAGGACTCACCCCGTCCGTTCTGAGGGGGTCTGTAAACGCTGCCCACGCTGATCCGGGCCTGGCTCTCAGGTATCACTTGTGGGGCTTCTGGGCTCCGCACAGGCAGGTAGGGTTGGGGTCGCAGTGCCCCATAGGGGTCCACGCTCCGGAAAGGGGGCTGGGAGTCCACGCTGTGGGGCGGGATGTAGGGCTCCAGTGGCACGTTGCCATACGGGGGGTATCGCCCCAGTCGTGGGTCAGTGACATACCCGGGGCCGGCCCCCACCGGGAAGCCCGGGCTGAGCTGGATGTTGTCTGTAGCAGGCACCCCCTGTCCCGCGGCCTGCTGAGCCTGAGCAGCTGCATAAGGGTCTGGGAAGCCGTGCTCAGCGACGGCTCCGGTGTCCTGATACAAGCTGTGGGAGTATCGCCTGTCCAGCCCGTCAGCAGGCTGCAGCTGGGGTGGCACCGCGCCGTAGGGCCTCTCTGGTGCGGGGTAGGGGCCTTGGGCTCCGTAGGGATTCTGCTCCTCCCCGTACTCCAACCGGGCCCTGGGCTGGGCGGGGTACAGGACCCCGACCCCGGCGGCGGCGGCCGGCCCCGCGCCCCC